AGGTCTGCCCTGAACCAGGAAGCTCTGTGGAGTGCACTCCACAGACAGACACTCCTGACTCCCTGCAAGTGGTCCCCGCTTTTATCCCCAAGCAGACACCTGACCTTTGTCAACTCATTGCAGGACCCCTGGGGCTCATTTCCCTTCTGGCTCTCCCTGCAGGGCCGGCCGCACCCTGGGGGGAAGCTATAAGGCAAACTCACCACCTCTGTATGAAGGGCTGTGGGAATCACCCATATGTCAACCTTAATTCGGGGTTCAAACCCCAGCATTTCAGTAACCTACAGGTTCGTCTGTCAAATGAAGCTGGTACTGCCCAGCTGACTGAAGTATTTAGAAGCTTTATAATGATGGCCCCAAATGTGTGATCAGTCACCTAGCAAGGCGAGAGCTCTCAACCTCTAGGAGTTTCCTTGGATGGCATCCCAAGGAGGAACGACCCGAAATGGCCTCCCCATGTGCCTCCATTTACATCCTAGCTGAATCGGATCTGTGGTCATGTCAGCGCCTCCTGGCTGCGGGCCCCGATATCCGGTGGCCGAGCACCCCACAACGCTCACCTCAGCGGTGTGAGGGGAGCCAGCAGCTGCCGTCTGCCTGCCAACAGCAGCCCGGGCTCTGCCAGGGCGGCCACACCGCCCACAAGCTGCTGCTGGCTTGCTGGCCTCACATCCCTGTGGCCACCTTTCTGGTTTTGCTTCTGAAAGGAAGGGTAGTATGTTTATTTACTTTCTATGGACCTTGGCAGTTTTTGGTGGAAAATTAAAATTGTTTAACATCTGAACTTGCTGAAGCATTTCAGGTGGTAGTAGGAAATTCAAGTACAGCTACCCCACAGAAGGAGAACAAGAGGAAATACCACATGAGAAGAAAAATAAAGATTGCAAGGCTTTCATGGATGAAAATAGTAATTTTATAACTATTAGGAATTCCTCACAGGGATTACTTTATTACATTACTTACAAGAAGCACACATGAACTATAGTCTGTGATAACTAAAGCACTGGGATTTTTTTTTTCTTTTATGGCCAAAGATGATGCTTTTATGAACATGTAGGATAAGCCAAGGATTGAGTGATGCATGATTCAAAATTATTTTGTTTCCACCTATGCTAGAATCTATAAAAGCTATGATTTCTGGAGAAAGAATAAATTTCTCTAACCAGATTTGAGATTAGGATTTCCTTGTTTGTATAGATTTTTCTTCTACGGCATCAAGAACAAGTAGATGTGAACTTCATGATCTTAAAGGTCTTTTCCAGCCAAAGTGATTCTATGACTTTGTGATTCTGCACAGTTTTCACATTAGCCTGACAATTCATCCTAAGGGAAATACTATTGCAGCTTGTGCTGTGAACTTCATGAAGTCAGATGAAATTCTAATGCGAAAGCTTACATAGTAATTAGCAGGAGTTTCTTTGTACCATTCTTAATTGCTTTTCAGCAGATTCAGTGTTTAAAGAAGAAATGAAATAATCTGAAATACCTGTCTGTAGACACAGCTATTACAGCTGTGGCAGTCCAGCCATGGCTACAAAGCTTTTGCAGCCGGAATTCCTTAGGGATTAGATCCTACTACTGTGTTCATCAATTAAAACTTGGACAGCTGACAGAAGATGTCTAAAGGTTTATCAATTGCTGATTTGAGCTGAAATATAAAGATTTTCATTCTTATATAATTACAATCATAAATTTATTTTTATTTAACTATTTCCCTGTAATGTCCACAATTCAAAGGAGTTTTAGAAGAACAAAAATTGTTTGACTTCCACTTCTTTGCAAATACTAGAGCTGTTTCTCCTGACCTGTACATTGAGATATTTCCTCATCAGAAAGACAACAAAAACAACCATTCCTGAATATACAAATAACCAGGTTTTGTAATTAAACTTTGTAGAATATTTATATTTTCTTCATTCAGAAGAAAGAAACAAAAGAGCTTTTGTTGTCTGTATAATCCATTTTTAATTCTGATCCAAGCTGTCCAAATCCAGTTACTTAAAGTAGTTTACATGATCAGTTTAATTTCTGCTAGAATGCTAATGAATTTTAATTTTTTAAGTAAACAAAAGAGTACGTGGAAACAAACAAAAAAATGCTGAAAGGAGATGCTGTAAGGTAATTTCAACATTATTGATTCAGCTTTTATGTGGAGTCTAGAGTACGTGAATTTGGTTTCTCTGAATTACATACAACACATTCTGGGAGTGTTAGGTTTTAATTCCAGATTAGAATTCTTTTTCTTGCAATACTCCCAAATATTTTGTTGGTTAAATAAATAAATACATCCCACACACACACACACAGTGTTTAAGTGTTATATCGTCGTGTTTTTCTGATTCTAATGGTATAATTGCATTGTATTCATACTGAGAATTATTTTTATGAAAACAGGAACAAACTGCATAAGCATAGTTACATGTTTTCAGTCTATAAAGTTTTAGATTTAAGACTATAATTTGGAAGTAGTTTGATTTAGAACTTAATGCAGTAACTGTCAAATCATATACTTCATCAAATGACCAAGTTTCAGAGTGTTAAATGGACAAATGACACTTGGAATCTGGCTAATTCTTAGTATTGTACTGAGTAAAGAATGCAGGATCATTATATTCAGAATATCTCCACCTAACAGCAGCATTTCTCAAACTTAAAACTGATAAAGACTCTTTGAACACCCTGTCTGTCTTCTGTACTCCTGCATCCACTCCTGGGCATTTGGTTGCGGGAGGCCTTGATGGGAATCTCCTGGAAACTTCTGCTTGTCTGTTATGCAAACACTGAGGTTCTTGCTGAGTTGGAAGATTATTTGTTAATAAGCATCTACATTGCTGCAAGATTTTTGTCTAAAGGTTTTATTTCCATTGCGGTTTTAAGGGTGTTATAAATTGATAGAACTAGAGATGTGGATTATCATTATGAGCCCTTCTCATCTAATGTCCTGTGAACTTATAACTGCAGTTTAAAGACGGTTCAAGATTTCTTTTTAATTGCTGTTTTGCAGGGAGCATTCCTTTGTTAGAACACCCTTTTAATCATTTGTGATTTTTTTTTTATATATCCCTTTTAAACACACCCATCTGGCTGCTGCTGCTTGTGTCATCTGGGGTGTTACAGATGTACGTCCTAGTGTGGTGATCACTTTTTTTCTTAGATGATGTGTGCTTTCTCTTTGTTTTGAAATTTGAATTTGAAAATTTTGGCAAGAAAAAAAAGAATGAAAAGAAAGAAAGAAAAAGAAGAAAGAAAAAAAGAAAGAAAAAAGAAAGAAAAAAAAAGGAAGAAATAAAAGAAAGAAAAAAAATTCCTCAGAAGTTTTTATCTGGGAACTTTACTCACTAGCCAAACTAAATTTCCAGGTTAAAAAAAAAAGTGAATTCCATCTCAGGAGACAGAGGTGACTCATTTGGTGGGAGAGGGGCCAGGTTTCTGTGCAGTGCACACAGCTACTCATCCTTACCTTCTTTCATCTGCTGCTGCCTCCAGGCAGCCACCAGCTGATGTGGCCTTATATCAGAGAAGTGTAGTTTTGTTTTTCCATGAAGGAGCCTTTCTTTGAAGAAAGTTACTGCAGCATCAGTCATTAATTCTTTTTCATTTTTTCCTTCTTACATTTAATTACAGAAATAACCTTTCTTTTGTACTAAGTACAGAATGCTATTGTGAACCTAGCTCTCATGGGTAATTGCTTATTTCTATCACCTTGTCCATGCAGGCACAATTGCTTGTTAAGGAGAAAAATGTGCATTAGGTTTTATTTTTAAACATAAATCTTTCCTGTAACTAGAGAAATGAAGCCGTGGTCTAAAGAAGCACCATACAGGCTGCTGAGGTAATGCCAGGCTCTGTTATTTAAACAGAGCTGCAGCACTCCTGCCGAAACCATTGTTGAACATGATGCTGATTTTGGCACAAAGTTGTAGGCTGGCTTTGTACGTATTTAATACCTGTGTAACAGCACATCTTGCAGGATATACTTTGCTTCTGCAAATGCAGATCCAACTCAGAAGCTAAAATAAGTATTGAAACCAGCATATAGTGCATTAAAGTGCTTCTATCATCTTTGCATTATAGTAGTGCAGCGACCTGGCAGTGGTGTGGTCACTGTAGGAAATCTAGCTCTCCCTGAAACGTCCTTGGCACAGAACAGGACTCCAAACTCTGTCCTGAAGTCTTGCCTTAGAGAGAGAGTGTAACATTTATAACCTTGCGTTGATGTGAATGTGGGATGCATGATGATGAAAGGAGTAAGTTTGTACTCCGCTGTGTTTGGGAGTTGGGTGTTGAAGGTGGCCCTGGCAGTAGCACTGCTCGTCTCCATGAGGTGCTTCTGTGCCAGCTGTTGGTCACCCACTGCACTGTCAGCAGAGAAGTGGAAATGAAGGGTAAGTGGGCACTACCCGTCAGAGGGTGTTTGAGCTCTGCCACTTGAGTCAGCACTATGCAGTCAGGGCCACAGGATTCAGAGAGTACCCAAAAAAAAAAAAAAAAAAAAAAGTTGTTCAATGAACACCTTCATAGCCCCAGTGTGACTGTGAAAGGTGTATACACTACATCCATCTTACAGGTTGCTTGCGTGAGAACATCTGTAGATATCCTGACACTAGACAGCCTGTAGTGGTTCCAAGTGTTTAGATGTTGGAAAAAAGAGGTGTGCTTATTTTAGCAGTGCTGGCCCTATCAGCTAAGTAGGCTTGATTCCCTTTCTAATAACTTACAGTTTTATTAAGCTTCTTTCATAGGAAAATGCCTAGACTTGCCACTAAACCCAGGTGGCTAACGGAGAATGTCTAATGATACTACTGTGCGTGCTATACCTAGTGTTTTAATTATGCCCCTTGAGAGGAAAACTAACACTTGCTTTTCTTTCATCAGGCTGACTTTGATGGTGCTGCAGAAGATGTAAAAAGATTAAAGACAAGACCAACCGATGAAGAACTGAAGGAACTATATGGATTCTACAAACAGGCTACTGTTGGAGATATTAATATTGGTATTCCTATTCCTATATATAATTCACATTTACCCTTATGTCTTAATGAAATGAAGCAAATGTTATGTAAATCTGCATGATAATCAAAGGTATGCATTGACTTTGACAGAATGTCCAGGAATGCTAGATCTGAAAGGCAAAGCCAAATGGGAGGCATGGAACCTGAAAAAAGGTGTTACACCAATTAAATTTACATCATGTAGTCATGTTTCTAGGATGACAAATAAGGAAAGATAATGACGCCTCATTTCCTTTGCAGGTTTATCGAAGGAGGATGCCATGAATGCCTATATCTCTAAAGCAAAAGCGATGATAGAAAAATATGGGATATAGAATACTCAGCATAATTCCCACTAAGAACTAACTCCTTAGCAGCTTATGAACTAACTCTGTTGAGAAAAATGCAACTCTAACTCCTTATTGTGTAGTCTGACAGTAAAATCTTTTACACATAAGCTGTTTGACTGTAAAGGTTATTTACACACGTACTCTGCTTTTAGATTGTATCTTATTCTACACAAATTTGAACCCAATAAATTAGCTTTCTCTAAGAATTGTGGATATTAAATTTATTTAGCATTTTTACAGTAGCACAAAGAGAGAAGCTCTAAAAGTAAAATAACATGGCTGTCATGTTTAGAAAATGAGGTTGTGGAGTGAATGGTTTGTGCACATGCGAGATGAGAAAATAAATGTTTTACAGTGAGGGTGGTGAGACACTGGCCCAGGTTGCCCAGAGAGGTGGTAGGTGCCCCATCCCTGGAAACAATCAAGGTCAAGCTGGGTGGAGCTCTGAGCAACCTGATTTAGTTGAAGATGTTCCTGCTCACTGCAGGGTGCTTGGACTAGATGACCTTTAAAGGTCCCTCCCAACCCAAACCATTCTGTGATTCTATTACTGCATGCAACTGTACAGAAGGAATGACTTATTATGGAGTGCTGTGGACTAATCTGACACCTTCTGCTATTAAAATAGAAGGAAATATTCATAGAGCAGCATTTTCTATGCATTTTGTTATGTGTTTTGCCAAGACTATTTCATTAGAGGGTTCCAGCAGATAAAAGTGACCTCTGGGAAGCTTGTAGAAGGAAGTTTCTCCACTTGTTAGATCTTGCCAGGCTGAAAAAGATATTAAAAGTGTCTGAAAAATGTCAACTCTTGTGGTCATTTGACATACCTATTTCAGAGTTATTATTTAATAATTATTTTAAACCCCATATCAAAACTTGTGGTTCAAACATTGAGACTGCTCTGTTGAATTGTTTAATTTAAGAAGGAGATAAAAGACTCTGGTAAACTCTTCGTAAATTGATTTGATACAACAGAAGATTGTGTAAGTATAAGAGGAAAACCATTTAAGCAACGTACCTTCTAAATCATATGGTTTATCTTCAGCCACATTAAAGCAGGTAATATCACAAGAGAAGGGAAAATTCTTTTCTGTGGTCTCAAAACTGTGAACATAAAAAGTAGTGTAAATCTTTCCATAAAATACCTGTATTTGGTGTTTGCTTCCACACACAAAATAGTGTTTTCTTTCTCCTTCAAAAAGTAACAAACTTCAGGAATTAGGTTGTGCAGAACATCAGGAGAAGGAATTACTGTATCTGTACCATTCTTAGCTCCTTATCCTACTGCAACTAAATCTAAAACTTCCCAACAGTTAAGAAAAAAGAGCTTAAACCCGCAATAAAATCTCTCACCTACAATAAATTATCACATCGTAAGCATATATTCAAGCTCTAATGTTTCAGGGCCTTATCAGCATCAGCATGCTATGGCCAAAATGGGTGCCACATCCAAGAGTGTCCTTGTATTTGCCAGGGTAAGAAACCTTAATCACACAGGTACATGAGCCATTGTGTAACATCCATTGGGGACAGGAGTTAGGACAGAAGCAGCCGGTTGCTCCCTAGATGCCTAGAAAACAAGTATTCTTTGCTACTTCTAATTAGGCTAGGGGCATTGGATCAGGAGGCTGAGTGCAGTAATCCTGAAGCATAATCAGAGACTATTCCTTTTAGTGACTACTAATTTTGGAGCCTAAGTAGAACTGTAATTCTACCATGACATGTTCACTACTGTAACAACAGTAGTGGTTCCTACAGTAAACAGTGTTTTCATTTAGGTTTTACATACTAGAATATAAATGGAAAAGCATAAAAAGGAGGAAATTAAGTTTACTTTTTTCATATGCTTTTTATATCAAGAGAACAAATTAAAGAGAAAGAAAAAGGAAAACCTGAAATGATCAGACAGAAGCAAAGCTGTACAATACAAATACAAACATAATACAAAATTGCACAACTTAGGAAAATGCCTGAAGAATTCTATGGTCTTCTCTGAAAGTAAGTATCAGACGTTTCTTAATGTTTTCATTTTGCAGAATCTCAGAAGTTCCTTCTAACATTTGTATATGTTTAAGAACCTCTTCACCTTCTGCATCATGTATGGGCATCCTTTTGACATCAAGGAACACTTCAGACTGCCAGCACCAGACAAAACAGATCAGGTGTGGTATAAAATAAATTTTCAATATTATTGTTAAGAATTTTTTTAGTAAAAAAGTACAATGATTCTCTGTCTCCAAAACAAAATGGCTGATGAGCTAAACATCTACAGAGAATACTTCTTGGAAAGGGTTAGTAGACTGTGTTTGCTGAAAACACAGATTATGAGTGAGCCAAGTATCCTCAAAGTCTAAAACTTCCATAGACACATAACCATTAATTTAGTTATGTTCAAAGTTTGACTCTCACTATTGAAACACAACTAATAAAATAATCTATTTAAGAGAAAGAAAAGCCCATTAGTGGACACAAACCTGACTAACATAGGACTGCAAAGACTAAGTGATTATGGAAATTTGCAAGAATAATAATTGCTTCCATGAAGGACTAGCTCATACTCAGGATTACTAAGAAGCCTCAGAAAGAGGAGAATGGAAATAGCAAATATTGACCAAGGACAGGACGACTGGAAAAAAGCCACTTCACTCTTGTTTTCCTGATAAAGACTGGCAGAACAATCAGAACCTCAAAAGGAGCAGAGGACATATTAAAAAGACCACAAAGAAAGAGGAGGGAAAGAAAGAAACAGACAAAAGTACTGAGGGCTGGTGCAGGTTTATGGACAGCTAAGTTAAGACAGTTATTTCACATTACAGAGTGGCTCTTTGTATTTTGTCTTGATTACTTTTTAATATTAAGCCAAAGGCCACAGTAAATAATACAGTATTTGAAAAAGATAGCATTAGCTTAAGGAGACTGTTCTCCCTAGACTAAGGTTAGCAGGCACTGAATACTCTGTAATGTGAAACTCTCCATCTGTCTCCGAATTAATTTCCTCTTAGAAAACAGAGTATTTTTCTGCATACATTCAGAAGCAATGCTTGTTTTGTATTAAAGCCACTCTGCATACCATACTGTAAAATGTTGTTTTTACTCTTGGTAACTAATATGCTGTTTTATTTAGTAATATTAATGATTCTGTAACTTATGTTTGGGGCATGTCCCCCAGATACAAAAAGATGGATTGGCTCCAGTCCATACTTTTCTTTCAAGTGTAGTGCAACTGCAAAACTAACATAAGGTCCAAAACTGTGGTGAAAACAGAAATTAAAGCAAAGTAAGCAAAAACATATGTAAAAACTGCAAAATTTAAGCATAATTTGATTTTCAGTGACAACTGGTTATCTTGAGCAGTTAATGAAGCCATATATGACACATAAATTATAGCGATGCTAGCTAATTGACATGAAATGTATTCCTATACAATCTAGTTTCACAAATCAGACCTTTTAAAATCTCTTTTTCTTTTAGGAGTCACCTTAATATGCATTAAGAACAGTTATTTTGAATATTTGGGACTAAATGATCTCAAAAATCTGTGTGTTTTATGAATGGTTTGTCCTCTGCATTCATATAGAGCAAGCACTGACACAAATATTAACAGTAAACACAAGCATAATTGATCTGTGTAAAAAAAGATAAAATCGCAAAACTGACATTTTTAGAAGACATTGTGCCTGAAGCAATCAATAAAAAAATCAGAGTCTTTAAGATCAACAGCATGTTTTAGGGTAACTTGACAAAACACCTTTGCAGAAGTATATTTTCCTAAAGTTTTTGCACATGAAGGCAAGTAAGCATCTATTCCTGGAGATCAAAAATAAAGCTCCTTCACCAGGATGTCTAAACAAAAAAGGCAAATGCTTTTTCTTCCAATTCTTTTAACAAAACACTTGTAATTTCATTAACTAGGGTTGTCATGTCTTTTGGAAAAGCAGACAGGGAGCAAAGCCAGCCTTGCAGGAGAGGAGGGGATGTGCATCCAGATGGCACAGCTGCCTGGTTTTAAGTCTTCCCTCCCCTAGGCGTTAAGGGGAGGAGCCCTCTCCCTGGAAAAAAGGCAGGGACTGAGGCACACAGCACACCGAGAGGGAGACAATAATACTGCGTGAGGCGTGAGGTAAAAAGCACAGATTAACATACCCCTGACAGCACAGAAGTTGTGGCAAGTTTGATACATGGAGGCCCACAACCTCACTGACAAAAAGGCCTGCATAAAGTGAACAAGAAAAGCCAGTCTTTTGTATGACCTGTATTCACAAGTACAGTAATGTGGAAGACCATGACCTGATTTGAATAAAACACTGCATTTGGTTAGTAGACCACTCATAATTTCTACCAGCTGGAAGACAGTGATGCGTGGACAACATGCTGTGGTTGCTTATGATCATTTTATATGAGCTATTGTGTTATGCTCCTGGTGCGCAGATGCTGTCAGCAGACTAAAATCACCAGTGTATTGTCTAACTGCGTTTGTAGTATTAGCAAGACTGATTTCTTTTTAGTGTTTACCAAAAATATCAGTAACAATAGTAATAAGGTAAAAATACTCCAAAGCAGTGACCAAAGCTAAGGAACCTGGGTACCAAAATAAGTTCTGATGCTTGAGACACATAAGCTGGACTAATTTGAGGTTTTCACATTATTCTTCATTCTTCTACATTTCTCTTCATCATTCCTAGGAAACTGAAAAATCTGCTATGTTAAGAGAAGAGCCTGCCTGTTGACCTAGCCAGTCAGCAAGCACTGCTCCTTTCCCAAATGAGATCTGCAGTCTTCTACTCACTTCTCATTTCTCCTTCTCTGGGGAACCCTAAATCACCCCTTCTGATTTAGCAGCCATTTCCATGGGAAGGTTCAGGCTCTGCAGTGAGGGCTTGTCCTGGGCCCTGCAGTTGCTATTTCCAAATGGCAAAAGTGGAAACTTTTGCTAAGGCTTCTTTCACAGTACTTTTATGTTGTAATTATTATGAAGTAAATTGAGGCACACTATGTTTGGAAGCTGTTGTAAAGCAGATTCTGTTGGCTCATCCTGACTGTTGCTGTTATGCCCAATACTGCTTTCCACATGATTTATCTGATGTCAGAGGTATTGGATTATAATGTACGATTTGTAAAAAGGCACCTAATATGCTTTATTTCTACCTCAAATTGTGTCAACTATAAAATCTGAAACCCAATGTTAATGTTATGAAAGCTAGCTATTATAAACACCAGGGCCGCTAATAATCTTCCTACAAGTAATTAAATACTACCAGAAACAATTAGTTCCTAACTAAGGCTGTGTCCTGGTTGGGCTGGGACAGGGTG